AGCGAAGGAATTTCCACCTCTGCCGGTATCACAGCCTCGGTTCCATAAACCAACAAATACGGGGTTGCTCCTACCGATGTGCGCACTATAGTGCGATATCCCAGTAAGGCAAAAGGTAACTGTTCATGCCACTGTCTGGAGCTCTGGATTGTCTTTCTCAAAATCTTCTTGATGTTCTTATTCGCTGCTTCAACAACGCCATTGGCCTTGGGCCGATAAGGAGTGGAGTTTCTATGCGTTATTTTGAACTGTTCGCATACTTCCTCCATCAAACGACTGTTCAGGTTCGCAACATTGTCTATGATAATAGTTGCAGGAATGCCGAAACGACAAATAAGGTTCGAGTGTACAAAATCCACTACAGCTTTCTTAGTGACTATTTTAAGAGTGATGGCTTCGACCCACTTTGTGAAGTAATCAATAGCAACCAATATGAATCTGTACCCATTTGAAGCTTTCGGCTCGATCGGACCAATGACATCCATACCCAAGGCGACAAAAGGCCAAAGAGCTGACATGGGATGTAATTCTGTTGGAGGTGCATGAATCAGATCTCCATGCACCTGACACTGATGACATTTCCGGACAAAGTTGAAGCAATCTTTTTCCATAGTTATCCAATAATACCCGGCTCGAAATATTTTCTTTGCCAGGACATACCCGTTCATATGAGGTCCACACACTCCTGCGTGCACTTCCTGCATGATTCTTCTAGCTTTCTCAGCGTCAACACATCTCAATAAATTGAGATCCGGGGTTCTTTTATACAAGACCTCACCACTCAAAAAGAAACCACTTGCATGCCGCCTAATGGCCCTCTTTTGATCTCCAGTAGCATGTTCGGGGTACTCTTGTGTTTTCAAAAACCTCTTAATATCATGGTACCATGGCTGGACGTTTGGCCTTGCTTCAATTGCATTACAGTAACCATGCCTTTCCCAGATTTGGATTTCCAAGGGATCGATGTGGACATTTCCTGGATAAGGCAACATCGAGGCTAAAGTAGCAAGTGCATCAGCTAGCTCATTGTGGCACCGAGGGATGTACCTGAATTCTATCGATTTGAATCGTTTTCCGAGATCTTCCACATGCTGCCGATAAGGAATAAGTTTGACAGCTCTAGTTTCCTACTCTCCCTGGGCTTGCCGGATAATCAAATCTGCATCCCCCATGATCAATAAATCTTCAACATCTTGGTCAATCGCCATATTCATGCCCATGATGCAGGCTTGATATTCAGCAGTATTGTTCGTGCAGAAGAACCGAAGCCTAGCTGTAGCCGGATAATGATGACCAGTAGGTGAGATCAAGATTGCCCCAATCCCTACACCTTTGGCGTTCACTGCCCCATCGAAGAACATTTTCCAAGCATGAGTGTCCTCAGGGACTACTTCTATTGTGTTTACCTCTTCATCTGGAAAGTATGTGCTCAACGATTGGTATTCTTCGTCAACCAGGTTTTCAGCCAAATGATCTTTCAACGCCTGGGCTTTCATTGTCGTGTGAGTAACGTAGACTATGTCAAATTCAGTGAGCAAGATTTGCCATTTGGCTAGTCTTCTAGTTGGCATCGGTTTCTGGAATATGTACTTCAAAAGATCCAACCTGGTTATGAAATAAGTAGTATGAGCTTGAAGATAATGTCTCAACTTTTGAGCAACCCACGTCAAGGCACAACACGTTCTCTCTAACAAAGTATATTTGGCCTCGTAGCTAGTGAACTTCTTACTCAGATAGTAAATCGCTTGCTCTTTCTTGCCGGTTATATCATGTTGCCCAAGGACACAACCAAAAGAATTCTCCAACACTGTCAGATACAAGAAAAGATGTCGCCTAGACACTGGTGGGACCAAAACTGGAGGGTTCGACAGATATTCCTTGATTTTGTCGAAAGCCTCTTGACATTCAGATGTCCATTTGATTGCTGCGTCTTTATTCAATAGCTTGAATATGGGCTCACATGTGGTAGTCAGTTGAGCAATGAACCGACTGATATAATTTAACCTGCCCAATAAACTCATCACGTCTTTCTTAGTTCTCGGAGGAGGTAGATCTCGGATAGCCTTTATCTTTGTTGGATCTAACTCGATACCTCTCCTGCTGACTATGAAGCCCAGAAGTTTGCCTGATGGGACTCCGAAGGCACATTTATCTGGATTCAGCTTCAAATCATACTTGCGCAACCTTTCGAAAAATTTCCTCATGTCTTGAATATGATCGTCCTGAGTTCTGGACTTGATAATGACGTCATCCACATACACCTCTATCTCTTGATGCATCATATCATGGAAAATGACGGTCATAGCGCTTATATAAGTTGCCCCGACATTCTTCAACCCAAATGGCATGAACCAATAACAATAAGTGCCTCAGAGTGTAGTGAAAGCTGTTTTCTTGGCATCTTCTTCATTCATCAACACCTGGTGATATCCTGCGTAACAATCCACAAAGGACTGTATCTCATGTTTGGCACAGTTATCAACAAGGATGTGGATATTGGGCAAAGGGAAATTGTCTTTAGGACTTGCACTATTCAAATCTTGGTAATCCACACACACCCGGGTTTTCCCATCTTTCTTTGGCACGGGAACTACATTAGCCAGCCACGTAGTATACTGGACCACCCGGATTACCCCTGCTTTCAACTGTTTTGTGACTTCTTCTTTGATCTTATCACTGATATCAGTCTTAAACTTTCTTTGTTTCTGCTGAACCGGAGGACAATCAGGGTAAATTGGCAATTTATGCACCACTAGATCGACACTCAATCCTGGCATATCATCGTACGACCAAGCAAACACATCTTTAAACTCAAACAGAAGTTGAATTATTGCATCCCGCGTTTTCTCATCAGCGTGATTGCTTATTTTTGTTTCCCGAATTTCTTCAGAGGTTCCTAAATTAACCGGTTTTGTATCATTCAAGTTCGGCTTAGGTTTATTCTCAAAATGTTCCAGTTCTCGATTTATTTCCCTAAAAGCCTCTTTTTCATCATATTCCGGTTCTTGGTTCATGCTTTCACAATTAGACAACGTGTTTGGATCTGGGTGTGAAGTTCGCAAGCATGTTATATTATTTAAAGCCGCATTATTATAACTGAAAAGAAGAAATAAAAGAGAAAAATAGCAAAAATCAGAAAGAATAAAGAGAATAAACGATGAAATATTGATATCATTTCTTGGGATTGGGAAGATATCAGGGTTTACATTCAGGAATTTAAAGACAGGAAACCTAAAGAACAAACATCCGAGCCATACCCTGGGGTAACTCGTGATGCAGAAAAAGTGACAGGACAAGTCTACCCGGACTCCCTCCTGATCGGGAATGGCGTAGCTTTCCAATTTTGGAGTTTAGCATCTGGTCCCATGTAGATCACCTCTGCGGTGCTAGTACCTTCCCCTAGCTGAACCATGTTGGTTTTATAAAGCATTTGCCTCATAGCTCCACATATATCTTTGATTTCTTCGGCCGTGAAGGCCTCACCATCTTCATTCTCACTGTATTTTGGCTTGACAAAGGTCTGATATAGATGTGGCAATGGCTGTGGCAAGGCCCATCCTTCCATTTTTCTCTTGTCTGCCCAATCTTCATCTTCTGGGGTAGGGTGGAAACCTATCCCGAAAAACTTTTCTGTTGTGGGTAGGGTTATTGGCTCCGATATTCCTTGTAGAGCTTTTCCCAATCCTTTTCCTGGCTTGAAACCATGTTTGATCATCTCTTTTGCCACCATGATCGAAGCATTAGATAGGAAAGGTTGGGGGCAAGGGCTCCCCTCTTCGTACTAATCCGCCACTACAACTTTGAAAGCTTGATAAACAATGTGTTCACTTCCCTCCCTAGCCTCCAAACATGGGATAGATGGGTCTCGATAAATAGACTGCTCGTCTTCTCCGTGGACTACAATTTCTTGATCTTCATACTCGAACTTTACCATTTGGTGAAGGGTGGAGGGCACAGCCCCCGCGGCATGGAACCAAGGCCTTCCTAGAAGAAAGTTGTAAGATGTATCCATGTCCAACACTTGGAAGGTCACCTCGAAATCCACCGGGCCTATGGTTAATACCAGATCTATCTCTCCGATGGTATCCCTTTTAATACCATCAAAGGCTCTTACATAGATGTTATTGGGATGAATCTTTCCAGTCCCGATTTCCATTCTCTGCAGTGTAGAGAGTGGACAAATGTCAACACCCGAACCCCCATCCACCATTACTCGCTTGACATAAAAACCTTCACACTTGAAAGTCAGATGTAAAGCTTTGTTGTGAGCCGCTCCCTCTGGAGGCAAATCATTCTTACTAAAGGAAATTTGATTAACAACAAAGAACCTTTCTGCCATTCTTTCGAGCTGTTCAACTGAAGTCTCAGCAGGCACATACGCCTCATTCAGAGTTTTCACTAGGGTCTTCTGATGCTCAGCAGATCTCATTAATAAAGATAGCATAGAAACTTGTTCAGGGTACTTGCGTAACTGATCCACCACTTCATAATCAAGCATCTTCATTTTCTGGAAAAAAGCCTCTGCCTCCTCAGCACTTACAGGCTTCTTGGGTGGAAAGCGCTTCTGTGTGGCATTGTTCACTTTTTATACATCTGAATATTTCCCAGCGAAGGTATTTCCTGGAAGTTCTCCCGTGATTTCTTTACCTTTGTATGTAACCAACGTCTGTTGATAATTCCATGGCACTGCAGACAGGTCTGTTATTTGCTTATGTGGCACACGTCCGATAACCACTGGCTCATTCAGCCGAGGCGGTTTAATCGTCCCCCAGACCACATAGGCTCCTTTTGGCACAAACATTGGTGTTCCCTTTTTCACTTCAAATTTCTTTGGAATACCCATGACTAACGGCTTTTCTTGGTGACCTCACAGAATATAGAGAACCCCATTTTTCGGAGGCGCCATCTCTGCCTTTGTTTCAACCTTCTTTTCAAGTTTAATCTTGACAGTTTTAGTCTTCTTTCCCCCTTTCTCCTACTTCGGGGTTGCTTTAGGCTTTCTATTTTGCATCAGCAATAGCAATTATAGATTTCAAGGCGGGATCGAACTCTTTGTCTTCACAGATCATCCCAATTACCGGCCCGTTGTTATGAGCGGGCAATGGATTATTGGTCACATTCGGGGATTCTTCATCCCTCAATACTATTTTTCCTTGTTCAATCAAATTTTCCACAACTTTCTTCAAGGTCCAGCAGTTATCAGTACTATGCCCCTCAGCTCCTGAATGATAATCATAGTGGACACCTCGTTGGTAAGTTGGAGATTCCGGATTCTGCCTGTTTTGGGGAATAGGCTGCAGCAGATCCATCTGGACAAGCTTAGGGAACAGGGTGGAGTAGGGTTCACCGATTGGTGTAACGTTGGGCCTCCTAGTTGGTTCCCGGGGCGAAAGTTATTTTGTGGTGGTCGGGGATTATATTGGTTCTGGTAAGGAGGTTGGTTTCTTTGGAATGGAGGTGGATTTCGGTTGGCTTGTGGTTGCGGTCGGCCGAAAGGTTGAGCATTCATGACCGCATAAGGTGAGGGAGCGTAGGCCATATCATTGTGAGGATAGTAGTGTTGAGGGGTTCTTTCGGAGAACACCAGTCTATGATCCCGATATCTCCTTCCTCCTGACGCTGCCATGACCATTTCTTCTTTCTTTTTTCCTTTGGCCATTCCTCCAGACCCGCCTTGGATGGCTTGGGAGGTCGCTATTATGGCCAACTGGCTCAAGATTCTACCCGTTTTCAGACCATTTTCTACCATTTCCCCGATTTTAGTTGCTTCTGCGAAAGGCTTTCCCATGGCCGACATCATATTCTGGAAATAATCGGGCTCTTGGGCTTGCAGGAAGACAGTGACCATCTCTACCTCATCCATTTGAGGCTTCACTCTTGATGCTTGTTCGCGCCACTTAATGGCATATTCTTTGAAGCTTATTGAGGGCTTTTTCCTTAGATTTGTCAAAGAATTCCTATCCGGTGCAATGTCTATGTTGTACTGAAATTGTCGAACAAAATCTCTGGCAAGATCGTCCCAAATGTGCCATCGAGATATGTCCTGATCCATATACCACTCTGAAACTATGCCGATTAAGCTTTCCCCGAAATATGCCATCAACAATTCTTCTTTGCCACCGGCCCCCCGTAACTGATTGCAATACTTCTTCAAATGAGCAATGGGGTCACCGTGCCCGTCATACTTTTCAAATTTTGGTGTTTTGAACCCTGACGACAAATGTACATGCGGAAACATACACAAATCTATATAAGAGACACTCTTTGGCCCGCTCAAACCTTGCATGTTCTTTAAGCTCTGTTCAAGGCTTCTCATTCTCCTGGCCATCTCATCTTGCTCTGGGGCTTTAGGGGTTTTGTCTTGCCCCGGTGTAAACTCATATGGTGGTGGCTGAGGGTAAGCATATGCGGAGTATGGAGGAAATTCGGGCTGGTAAGTAGTAGTTTGATAAGTGAAGGCCGATGGATCAAACACAGGCCTTGGGACTGCGGGCTGTGTTGTAGCAGAATATGGTGGAGCAGTGAAGATGTTTGGAGCTGTCCCGGGTATGAATGCCTGGGGCCGGACCTCAGAAGTTGCTCACATGAAATGAGCGGATATAGTAGGTTGTCCTTGCGAGACATTCGGGTGGCTGATGGGAATGTTAAAGGTACCCGTTGGTCTTGGGAACAACTCGGGAAATCCAGGGATGACACTCGGGGGTTCTTTTCCAATTGTCCATGCATCCCACATCTCCATTACCCTCAGATGTAAGATTCTGTTTTCTTCGGCCACTGCAGACTCTGAGGCCGGGACGCCCGAGAGTGGGCTATCTTCTGAAATAGGGATTGTTGGCAGGGTCATTTCTGACGACATTTCTGTACTACCTTTGGCTATAGTAAAGTAGTGGTGCGAAGCCAGTTTACCACAAAACCAACCACCTGTTTCTATAAACCTGGAACAGTTAAATGGACTTCTACATGTTTTGCTCGGTTGCATGCGTCATCCCGGCTTTTTTTTGTTTTTCTTTTGTTTTCTCTCACTTTGTTTTCCCTCTGTTTTCCTCATTTTCTGCTTTCCCTTTTCGTTTTGCCATGGTTTTTCCTTTGATTTTTCTTCCACTCTTTTGTTTCTTTTGTTTTTCCTTTATTTTCTTCCCTCTTTTACTTTTCTCTTTACGGTTACGGTCGAATATGATGAGGATTGCCTACGTATCGTGACCCCGCACGAATCAGACCAAGCGTAGTTCGTGAAAATTAAATGCGAAAGATAAAGAAACAATTTTTGGGAGTTTTCAATTTTCATTACTAAAACATTTTTTTACAAACTAAACATTTTTGAAAAGGGAACTAACAGACTAAAAATAAAGCCAAATACAGACTCAAAAACTACTGATGCGAAAAGGAAGCCGACAAACAGACAACAGACTCTAAAACGGAACATACAGACTCGAACTATGAGTACATTAAAGCTTCAAAAATGGGTGCCCGCGCGGCGTCGTTCGGCCTCGCTGCGGGATTAGGTGCGAGATCCCTTTCAAGTTGCTCTAGTTCATACATTGTCCGCTTGACATAAATCATTATGGCTGAAAAGAAGGTAGTGCGGGTCATGTCTTCACACAGTCGACATCTCTTAATGATGGCATGGCCAATAGTCTCAATCTTTTCCCTGGTTCGACCTTTTTCTATGAGCAAACGCCTTATCTGATCATTACGGGACTCCAAAACCTGAGAATCCTGAAGATACTGTCTGTGCAGCTGTTGTATTTCTACTTCCATTCGGGCCAGTAAATCATAGCAGTGTCCACTTTCGGTTTCAAAAGCTTGGGCTTGCTTAGCTGCCTTGTCCTCAAGAGTGATCATTTTTCTTTTCAGATTAGCAATGGTATTTTCATAATCCTTCCTCACCTACTGTAGATACTGTGTGCGCTCTTTTGTTCTTTTTGCCCACTGTGCTTGGAGTTCTGCTATGGTACCCTCGGATTTCTTCAGCTCATCACGGTACTCAACGATTTCCGTTTTCAACCCTTTTATCAACCGTTCATCCGACCGACTCTTTTGTTGTTTATCAGCATCTAACCTCATTTGTCGGATCTGGGCCCTGAGCATCTCATTTTCCTGGGCCAACTTCTTTTTATCTCCCTCATTAGCTGCGGCCTGCACGCTGTTTTCAAACTCAAGGTCTCTAATCTTGTGTTTTAACTAGCCTATTTCTGCCGTGTAGCTCTTTTCTTTTGCCAGCCAACCCCATTGTTCCTGTGATGATTCAGTAAAATTCTGGAGATGGGGTCTTTTAGCCGGCCTTTCGTGCTCAAGTTCTCTCCTGTACCAAGCAAGGTATCCTGGCGCCACTTCGCCTTTGACCCGATCCTGCACGCAAGTATCTGCTTTTAAATATTGGCATTCAATCCAGATCTGGCGGACTCTTGCTTCAGGAAACTGTCTGTCACGGCTAATTTCAATTACTTGAGCACTAAGATCTTCCTCCTATGGCATTGTTTGGCATATCCCGAGTTGTCTCAAAACCCGATATGGTACGTAGGGCTGAATGCTCTTGAGTCTCATCAATAGAAAGTGGGTCCTAGCTGCCGGCATATATACGACCTCATCAACGGGAAACCATCCTAGCGTCCACTGTATTTGACTGGCGGTGAGGGTCCGAAAGAATGATGTCCACGCCGTAACTCCCTCAAGTAGATTGACCCCCTTGATTCTTGTGTAGAACTCTTCTATGCAAGTTTTCTTCGAGGAACCATAACTCAAGAGCTGGGAACGGTGGCATAGATGCTCAGTCATCCACATTTGTAGCAACAAGTTACACCCCTCGAAAAAGTTCCCTCTGGCTTTGCAGGCTGTGAGAGCTTGTAAGATATCAGATACTATCATAGGCGCAAGAGTGCTTTCATCTTGAGTGAGCAATGTACTGACGACCCCAACTATTTTCAGATCAATGTTCCCGTCTTTCCTTGGGAACACCAAAAGGCCCAAAAAGGTTATCATAAAAGCCACTCGTCTATGCTCATCCCATTTCTGACGGTTACTTTTGCTGCATAACTTGTTACCCGGATTGTTGAATCCTCCGACATGACCGTATCTGTCGTATATGAAGCGCGGATTACAAAAACCTGCGGCCAAATCTGGGTTATGGACCGTCTTGGGTATTTTTAACGAATCTAAAAACTGATGCACANGATCTGGATTATGGACCATTCTGGGTATCTTTAATGAATCTAAAAATCGATGTGCAGTGACAGCTATTGGAGCAACCAGCTATTTTTGCCTTAACGGAACTTCAGCATTTCTGATGTACTCGGCTATTTGCTTCAATGTCGGGGTGAGTTCAAATTCGGAAAAGTGGAAGACATTGTGTGCCGGGTCCCAGCAGGTAACCAAAGCTCTTATGATATCCCCCCGAGGCTGGATTTCCAATAAACCCGTAAGACCTTTCGGATATTTCTTGACCTTATCTTGCCCTTCACCACCTAAATCATCCCACCATAGCCGCAACTCGAAAGGGATTTTAGTCATTATTGAAAAAGGTTCATTTTGCATCGTGCTCATTCTGCACATTTATTAAGGTGATTAAGCAAAAAAAAATTCATTTGACTCATCAAATTGACTATTTTTTTTATTTTTCACAGATTAAAAGAAAGATCCGGTCTTCCGAACACGGCCTTTCAGCACTTCGGGAACGAAGATTTTAAGGCTGTGTGAGTCAACTGGTCAAAAATTCAAAAAATGACCAAAAGTGGCCATTTATGCAAAGTCAGTCTTCCGGCGTCCTTTTCGGGAACATTCGACTATTTTTGACAAAACGGCATTACTCGATTTATTTATGACTCTTTTCTTGTTTTTTCAAATTGAAATAAAAGACCCGGTATTGAAAACACGGCCTTTCAGCGCTTCCGGGAGGAAGATTTTAAGGTTGTGCCCGCAAACCATTTAAAAATGACTTAGGGTGGCTGTTCTTGCGAAAACAGCCTTCCGGCGTCCTTTTGGGGACATTCGGCTTATTTTAAGCAAGCATGACATCACCCGACTTATTTATGACAAAAATTAAAATTTTGACATTTTTTTTGGGCTATTTTTGCAAAAGGGAGGTTGGACCCGATGTGGGTTGCCTATGTATCCCACACCCTGTGAGAATCAAACCGGCGTAGTTCGGGAAAATAAACTATTTTTGAAAACAAGACCCTTTTTCCTTTTCTCCTTTTTTTTTGCTTTTTTGAGTAAAACAAACTATAAAAATATATATATATTTTTTTAAATTTCGGCAGAGTTTCGATAGCATTCGGCCATTGGTTTTCTAAAAGTAGGCAGTCAACTCTCTACACTGTTATTTCTCTCTTCTTCTTTTTTCAATTTTCCTGATATTCAGAATCCGGTCAGCATGCAGGCCCGAAACAAATAAATGCGCGGAAAACAAATAGGATGCATCAGGATGGTCTTTTTCATTTCAGGTTGCTAGTCCTAGACGGACCCAACCCCTGTGTTGAGTCCCCTAAGTCAAATGCAACATGATGCAAATAAGAGTTCCTACTAGGGCTCCGGCATGAAGTCACGTTATTCTAGGTTCAAAGTCTAGGTATTTGTTATAGACTGTGTACCCGAGCGGACAACTCGAGTCGAGGAGGGGGCAACGTACCAGGGACCCGTGAGATCGTCTGGCTTTGTAACTTGTCTGGCCTCTTTCTTATTTCAGGGTATGACACTAACGGAATAGGGAGTCTCAACCAGTAAGCACATCCCCGGAGGTGAGAAGAGAAGGTTTTCGGTACAGTTTATATACAGTTCAGATAATATCAAAGTGGTAAAGCATTTAGCACATTTAGCATGAAATATGTAGAAAAATCAGATAAATCCAAACATAACAATTATTCTAAGCTCGAATTCTTAAACCCTGAACCAGAGATTCTGGGTTCGTTCCCCAACAGAGTCGCCAGAGCTGTCACGCCTCCTTTTTCACTACACCCGCGAAGAAAGGAGTTTTTCCAATTAAAGGACAATCGGAACGGGATATATTATTATTTGTTCAGAGTCGCCACTTGGGAGACTAATGGTGTTCCAAGACACCGGTTGAATCCCGAACCGAGAAAAGATATGACTCTGTTAACAGTCCAC